TTTCTACTTTATCTGGAAGACAAGGCAGTTGATATATTGGGTACAAAGACAGCAGCTGTTGCCAAGAGCTGTAACAAAGTCACCAGCTCTTCTTTCACTGTGAAGCTCCTTGTGGATAAAAGAGAGATGAGCCTGGACCTTAGGTCTGGTGTTTATTGAGACTGACCCGTCGAACTCTGATGACTCTACTTTGGAGGCTCTCTGTTTACCTGTTTGGCTTTCTCTGTGTGTTTGTTTGTTTGTTTCCCTCTGTTGTGCATGTTCCTCTAAAAGTTTTGTGCATTAGGCTGTGTGGAAAATGGTGCCTTTGTTTCTAAAGGTTAGTGACCGCTTTACCCTTAAAATACACCATCTGAGTACTTCATTTGTTTTAAATTGAACTTTATTGTCAGCACCATTGAAAATTAATTTTAAAAACATAATAGAGTATAGACTTATTGTGGAAACTTTCATTTCCTTATCACTTTGAATGCTATGAAGGTACATCAGTGGCCATGGAATCTTGAGAGTGACCCTTACCTCTTCCAAGACAGCAGCAAAACTATCCCTACACTCATCTGGCTAGTACAAGGAACTGTCTGACCCTATGTTTCTTCTTTCTTGCCACCGCATTGATTTCTCTTCCAAGAGATTGATAGTATTCTGTATTCTATACTCCTGCTTTCTCATTCTTAAGTAGTAATAATGATGATGGTGATGATGATAACTGGCATACACATCTATTGCTTTAAAGCTGGCAAAGTGCTAACAGTTAATTCTAGCTTAGATATTTTTCTCATGCATGTATCACATCTTTTTACCACCTTCACCTTCTGAATAACCCCAAGAAAATTTTCTGTCTCTTTACTTCCTTCTTCCGTCATTAATCAAAAAGTGGCCATAATGGTAAGCATAAAAGTAGCATTTTTGACATATGTAAAATACTTAGAATTCTGGACTTGGATGAGACCTTAGAGGTCACATAGCTGAATTTTTTCTTTCTCAGAAAAGAAAATAAACTTTTGGAATATATATCATGTGATATAATGAATAATCACTATCTTCAGACTCTGAAGCCTTTGAATGTACTTAAATGTTCCTTTTAGAATTCTTATCCAAATCTCCAGCATGTAATTAAATCTACTTTCCTCCAAGTAGCTTCAAATATAGCATTCTTAGTTTTCATTTTATATGTACCATATTTCAGCTATATTATGGGTTAAATGTGACTTTTGTGATCTAGCCCTAGAATTTAGCCACCATTTATAACATTGTTTCTATGGAATAAAAGTAGCATGGTGAATAGATAGTGGATAGTGCACTGGAATTGGAGCCAGGCAAACCTGGGTTCAGATCTCACTGCAGGCTCTAGACGAGCTGCTTTACCACTTAATACTTAGGTCAGCTCCCTGGAATTTATTTACTTGGTCATAAAGAGGATGCCATCTGTCTTAGTGATGATGTTCCAACACAAGGACTTCCACGTGCTGATGAAATCACAGATTCTTTGCTTATTCTATGGAAAACATATATTCTATGATCCGTGTAACAGTAGATAAAAAGTATCATTTTTAATACAAACTATTTGTAAGTTGGAACCTCCTTGTGTAATATTTTGAATTTGTTAATATGTAATAGTTTTTATCTTCATTTGTTATAAAATACCATGAAATCTAGTCATGTATGAATTTCATTTTTTTATTCCCTGGTATTTCAAATACTTTTACATATATGTGTATGTACATACATATATGGGTATGTCTTACTTTATTGTGCTTCACTGATACTGCTTTTTTTTTTCCTTAAAAATTGAAGGTTTGTGGCAACCCTGCATTGAGCAAGTCTATCAGCACCATTTTTGTAATAGCATGTGCTTATGTCATGTGTCTCTTTGTCACATTTTGGTAATTCTTGCAGTATTTCAAGCTTTTTCTTTATTATTATATCTGTTATGGTGAGGTATGATGAGTGATCTTCAATGTTGCTATTGTAATTGTTTTGGGGCAGCAAGAACCACACCCATATAAGATGACAAACTTCATTGATAAATGTCCTGTGTGTTCTGACTGCTCCACCAACTGGGCCATCCCTTGTCTCACTCCCTCTCCAAGAAATTGTCACAGCCACTCCCAGCCTTCTACAACTACCACCTTGATCAATCAGCAGCCATCAGTATCGAGGCTAGACCCTCCACCAGCAAAAAGATTGTGTTTCACCGAAGGCTCAGATAGATGATGGTTAGCATTTTAAGCAATAAAATATTTTTTTAATTAAGGGATGTATTTTTTTATGACATAATGCTGTTGCACATTTAATTGACTACAGTAGAGTGTAAACCTAACTTTTTTAAATGTACTGAGAAACCAAAAAAATTTGTGACTTTATTAAGATACTCACTTAATTGCAGTGGTCTGGAACCAAACCCACAATACCTCTGAGGCATACTTGTACATACACATTGTGTATGTGAGTATGTATTTGAATGTTATCTCCATCACTATTTTTCTCTCTAATGGGCTTCAATGATGGACTTCGTTTTCCCATGTTTTTAGGATCCTAACTAAAGAAAAACAATTTAACTTGGCTTCTGTAACTACAAATAATACTCCTTTGGTTTCCCTTCTTTTTCTTGTCCCTTGCACCTTCTAGTTGTTTTTCAATAACCAGGTGATGCTGGTATTCACTTGAAATTATTTCTACATGCTTGCAGTATTATCATCTTTTCCTTTAATATTCCAAAGTTTGTGAGCCATCTCTGAGGAATAAGGATTTCCCATCTTAATCTGTTCACCATGTGAGATGTTCTAGTGACAAATGAATTCTGGGCAGTGAGTCGAGAAGGACACAGATGTCAAAGCCATGAATTTGTAAATGGGCTGCTAACAATGTGCTTTGTCCAATCAGCACTTTGTTAATTTCACCTGTGAGAAGGAATAATTATTCAATAATAGCTTCTATCAGACCAAAATCGAATGACAAATGTGTCAGAATCAGAAACTGAAAGGAGTGGCAAATGGCCTAAATTTTTTTTTTAACCAGCTGTGAGAGATTTGGAAATAGAGGGAATCTGATCAGTACTTAGGAATTAATTTAAATATTTTAAAACCTTTTTCAAGACAGAAAAATGTAAAATCTATTAGAAAAGGTAGAATCCCATTCATTACATTTGATCTGTTTATGAAAGTACAATATTGACATTTGTAAATTAAATTACTTTCATAGAATTAACTAGTAGAAACCAAAAATGAACCTTGTTTTTTATGAGAAAATAAATCATTTTCATAGTAATAAGTCTACTCCACAAGAATATTTAGATGTAGAACTCAGTAACATTTGTAAAAGCTCCTCAGAGTTTCTAAATGAAATTACAAAATTAGGGAATTTTCTAAACATTTTGCAGGAATTTGACTTCAACTTTTATTAGCACAGTTAAGATTTAAAGCCGTGTGTGTGTGTGTGTGTGTGTGTGTGTGTGTGTCCCACACAGTTATCACTAAAGAATTTCTTTAGATGAAATTGCTTTCAGCTTTCATTCGCTGAGAGAAAGGTACCTGTGATTCACAAAAACAGCCCAAAATTCAGGGCATGAAAGTTAGTGGTACAATACAGTTGATATACCTTCCCGATGAAGCAAATGGAGATAGTTCAGAAAATACTTAGCCATATCAATTAACACTAGATATTTTTTTTAGGTGATTATTGTTAAGTATAGGAAAAAAACTGCTTTATCATCGACAGATAATAATAAATGGCTCTGCTGACCATTTCTTTTTATTGGTCTTTATGAGAAGCTTATCTCACTTCTATTTCCTTAGACTCTAAAGAAACAGGAAACTTTTGTATTTTTCTTTTGCAGGAAAATATCTTTTCTTTCAAAGTATACTAGTTAATTAGATCTATGGTGTAAATTACTTTTCCAATTTTATGGAACATGTGATGGATAGAGGGAGGCCTTGATGTTAGAAAGACTTGACTTCAAGTTTTGCTTTTGACACAAGGAATTTAACCTATTAGTGCTCGAGGCAATCAAGATCTTGTATTAGCTTTGAGTTGCTGAGGATCTTGGTGGAATGGAATCCTTTTTTGTACTGGGACTGACCTCAAAAGTCTGATGCCCCACCATCCAAAAGAAATTTGCTTTTAATGCTCATGATTATCTTTCTCTTTGTTTTTATTTCTTGATGTGGGAGGAAATGATTTATATTTCAATTTTTCTTTTACTTTGTGATATTCTAATAAGCTTCTCTTTCAAATCTTTAAGAAAACTCAAACTTATTGTTTTTACCTAGTTGGGAGAAAAGAGGAAACTTAATTTAGACTTCCTTATGCAGAAAGAAAATATGTTAAAGAAAACTCCTTAAAACCCTAGTTTCTAATATTTTGAACATTGAAATGGAATATTTGGTAGTTACTTCTTTAGCTGCAAACAGCTAAAGGCAAATGCACTGTTGGTGTAAAACTATTCATTTTCATTACTTTTAAAAATTAATATATTTTTCCTAAATTGTTTCTCAATATTGAAGGAATTTATAGAGTAAACCTGAATATTTAATAAGTGGCACTTACGAAACTTTCCTCTGACTTTATTGGACGATTCCAGTTACCTAATCCTGTTTTAACTGATATTATGTCATCTGCTTTCACAGGTAACTAGGATGACCACTGGCATTATGAATAACTGTGTTCTAAAGAAGCTAACTCAGAGCTTATTTAAGGGCTTTTTTCTGAGCACTGCAAAGCTACAACAAAATTTGAAGACCATTCTCACTAGCTGTGTGACCTTAGGCAAATCACTTAACTCCCCTGAGTCTCAGTTTCCTCATCTGAAAAATGAGGGCATTGGACTGTATCATCCCTAGGGTCCTTCCATCTGTGACATTCTGATCATTTTTATCATTCAAGGAGGTCAGGCCTTACCAATTAGCATTACATATTTGTTTAATTTTAGAAAAACAACACCATCCCTTCTTAAATAGAAGTGATGCTAAATTACTGACATGGTATATATTCTTTTCTTACAGTCTACCCTGACATTTGCACAATCAGCCTAGTGGCAGTGGGAGATCCAAACAAACATGCAGATAGGATTGCTTTCTGGGATGATGTGTATGGGTTCAACATGTCATGCATGAAGAAAGCAGTTATTCCAGAAGCTCTTGTGGAAGTTTTGGACCCAAAGACAATTATTTCAGAACCCTGTGAAATTAAGGTACTATGCCAAATATGTATACTATATTTACTTATTTATAATAATAACTCCAGTATTTTTGTTTGTTTTCATCTGCTTAGTGATTCAATATTTGCATTCAATCTACTCTTTTTTTCCTTGGGTCACCAAACCACTGAACCATTTCCCAGTCTCTACTCAGAACACTGTCTTTAGGTTTATGATCCTTACGTGCTGCTTTAACTGTGGCGTGCTTTCTTGATCACTTCATAGTCTACAAAACTCAAACTACTCATACCCAGCTTCACAGCTCTCCAGGGTCAGGCTCTGCGTGTATTGCTTTGTTTATCTCTCTCTATTTTCTGGCTGTCTTATTTTGGGTCAGGCAAGGCAAAAAGTTTTCTTCTGTTTCTTCTGTAATTCTTCTGCTTCCACCTTCTGGTCTAAATGATAACTTAGCTGTAGAGTATGCTGCCACATCATAACTCCCTTATAACCCTAGGTTTCCCTTTCTCACTGCTGTTCTCAGAGTCTGCTTTCCTGAGCTTTTCTTTGATCAAGTGATGGCAAGGAACTTATTCACAAAATTTAAGTTCTATGACAGTGTTCTGATTTTGCAGCTCTATCTTTCTTTACCTTATGATCATCCCCTTTGCCATGTTGATTTCTTTATGTTAATGAGTAAAACTACATTCTATAACTGTGCATTACAACAAGACAGTGTAGTAACTGAAGAGTGGAAATTAACCTCACTTTCCTTGACCATATCTTAAATGTTTCTTCTTTTCCCCCTCCCTATAGGTTAATCAAATAACAGTTGTTTGAGGAAATTAGGGCCAAAATTATATCCTCTGTTTCTTGTATCCACACCCCAACCCTAAAGCACTTAATACATTGATGTGCACAAAATAGTTAGGTGTTCACCAAATGTTGTTTACTCAGCATTGTGTAACAGAAATTAAGCTTTTTAACAAAAGCTCAAAGCAAAGTTTAGCCGGTCTGGTGATCATAGAATAGTTTGATGCACTACTTTGTAGATACCTTCTTATGTATTCAAAGATTTATCTTCATCTCTTTCTCCCTGGGGAGGAGTGCCATAGAGGTAGTCAATTCAGCCCCAAGGCTGGAAAGGGAAAGGGGAAACTAATTTCGCTCTCTAGTGATCCCTTTGCTTACTGCCAAGAACTGCAAGAAATAAATAGTAGAAGAGAATTTTAAGACCAAAAGAATTGAAGGTGGCTGATTAGGACATAAGCCTTCTTATTCTTAATGTTATACTTATTCACTTATTTCTTTAGTAATTTCTTAACTATAGATATGATTTTTCATTTGACTACTTCTAAATTTCTAACAGATTTCTCCTCATGAAAAAAAAATTTAAGAGAAGCCTCAATTACCAAAAGCTTTTTGAATTTGAATATACATGATATGTATATCATGTTTGCAGAGTATATTTTAATATATTGATTTTGAATTGGGGTGAAAATGTCAAAATCCTTTTAAATATTTTCAGTCATCTAGATACTTAAAGGATCTGTGATTCTGTCAGTATGGATACTTCCCTCCGTAGCACAAATTGTAGTTCTTCTCAAACTTAGGAGCTTAACCCTGGAGAGTTCCAAGTCCATCATCTGTGAACATACTAGTAGTCAGCCTCAGTACATGTAGGTAGGCCCGTTTTCTCCTGCCCGATATGCCGTTCAGTTGTCTTTGAACCTATACTAAGAGATTCGAGATTTGTAGGACCTTTTAAAACTTAAACTCTGTTGTCCTTGGTCTTTGATAATTCAGCATCACCTCCATCATGCAATGAGGTATCAGCTTTTAGTGGAGGTTTTTAAATATCAGAGGTATGAAATTTCAGCTAAGAACATTTGAAATATTTATATGCATGGTATTTCCTGAGTTCTTATCTACTCAGCTGAAGTTATCAAGGATACCAGAACGTACTGGCTTATGTCAGTCAAAAAAAGAAAAAGTACAACTAAAGATGGTTTAGTGGCAACCAACCATACTTCCCCTGAACCTACAGATAATTGTTCTTAAGCATAAACTGTAAGATTAACATCCAGATGTGCATGCTATAATTTGGTGAAGTGTGTCTTTTAAAGTTACCTTGCAACATACTAACCAAGGCTCAAGTTACTTTGGAATTCTTCCTGAACTGGAATCATAAACCTTCTCTTCTCTTTTTTTGAGAAAATATTAAACAAACAGACAGGTTTATAAGAGAGGTACCCAAAACAGCACTTGGACTATTGTGAAGTGGGGAGTAGGAAGAGTCATGTAATGGGACAGAAAGGAGAAACTAGGCAGTTTGCCAGTTTTTCTAGAGTTAGGTTTTACAGTGTCATGTTTAGTTTGCTTTGTTATAAATTCCCATAATAGCAAAACCATATTCAAATGCAAGTAAAGAAATGAATTCCAAAAATGAATTGATTTTTATTACTAGCACATTTATTTAGAAATTGAATATAACTGCAAACATATTTCCAACTGGCATTCATAGATTATAATACCCCTTTTTACATAATACAAGATATCCTGCCTTTCATTTGGCACATGATAGTATTTTTTACAAAGTCTTTTTTTCTTTTTTTTTCTGGGTAGCATATAGATTGTCATACTGCATGCGTCCCTGATCTCGAGTTTTCTTCAGATTTCACCCTGAAAGTCACAAAACTGTCCATGTGTACGGTAAGCCACCCTCATTGTTTCACTCGCATTGTGGTTGATTGTGGGGTGGGATAGTACATTAATTATAGGGTTGTGATAAATGAAGAAAACAATTGCCTTCGACAGTCCACATTTGCCTGTACAAGGCTGTGACACAAATCTGTTCTAACACATTGGTAAACCTCAGAAAAGTTAGTTTAGTTCAGTGTAAAAAATGATCATGTTTATGTTTAGTGATTTTCCCTTTGTATATTCCACCCCCTTCTCCCCCCATTTCATTATTATTGTTCCTTTGGAGCACTTGTTTTCATCCCAAAAGGCAAAATGTTGTATTTTCCCCTAATAAATATATTAGCATCCAGTCCCTTTTTTAGGTGGTTTAAAAGAGTATACATTAGGATTTCTTATTATTTGTCCTCTGAAGCCTAGTCTTTTTGTTTTTAATTTTTTTAAATTTATTTTGATTTATCAACAATCACTTCCATAAGCTTTTGAGTTTTAAATTTTTCTCCCTCTCCTTCCCCAAGACAATGTGCAATTTGATACAGGCTACACGTATACATTCCCATTAAACATATTTTCACATTAGTGATATTGCAAGGAAGAATTAGAACCAATAGGAGGAACCACCAGAAAGAGGAAACAAAACAAAACGGAAGGAAAAAAAATAGCAAATAGTATGCTTTGATCTGCATTCAAACTCCATAGTTCTTTCTTTGGATGTGGATAGCATTTTCCATCATGAGACCTTTGGAAATGTCTTAGATCCTTGCATTGCTGAGGAGTAAGTCTGTCAACATTAGTCATCACACAATATGGCTGTTACTGTGTACAACATTCTCCTGGTTCTGCTTATTTCACTCAGCATCAGTCCATACAAGTCTTTCCACATTTTTCTGAAGTCTGCCTACTCATCATTTCTTCCAGCACAATAGTATTCCATTACATTCATATACCACAACTTGTTCAGCCGTTCCCCAATTTTCAATTCTTTGCCACCTCATAAAGAGCTGCTATAAATATATTTGTACATTGGGTCCTTTTCCCATTTTTATAATCTCTTTGGGATACACCCCTAGAAGTGCTATTGTTGGGTCACAGGGTTGAAGCCTAGTCTTAAGGATGATTTTATTCTTTAAGTGATTTTGATTTATTCCAGAGAATTCCTACATGTAGCTTTTTTTTTTCTTCATAGAACAGTCTTTACCTTTATTAGGTAACTTGGAATATTGTAATGTGCCCTGTTTCCAAGAAAAAGTGATATATGTTCACCTGAGTTTAACTGATGTACTTATTGGTGAATATTTGTCATTGCTGGGTTCTTTGGGCAGAATATTTTCTTCGAGTTGTGAGTTACTGTTTTATAGTGAGTACCTCTACTAAATTTAAAATATTTATCAAAATCTGATTCGTAACTTTAAGGGAACGCATAATTATATAGTATAAGGTATACCCATGAAAGTTAATGTTGATTCAAAGTGATGTTTTTGAATGGCTTGAATTAGTATCTTTTTTAATTTTTTTTTTATTTTGATTTGCCATTTATGTATATTTAGCACAGGACATTTAAGTAGTTCAGGAGGAGCAGGACTTCTTTGCTTACATATCATTTCAGTAAATATTTTGTTTTTGTTTTTGTTTTTGTTGGCTAGGCAATGGGGTTAAGTGACTTGCTCAGGGTCACACAGCTACTAAGTGTCAAGTGTCTGAGGCGAGATTTGAACTCAGGTCCTCCTGACTCCAGAGCCGGTACTCTATCCACTGGAAACCTAGCCTCCCTCAGTAAATATTTTGTAAAGAAGTTACTTGAGGGGCAGCTAGGTGGCTCAGTGGATAGAGCTCTGACCTTGGAGTAAGGAAGACCTGAGTTCAAATGCGACCTCAGACACTTGACACTTAGTAGCTATGAGACCCTGGGCAAGTCACTTAACCCTGATTGCCTCACCAAAAAGCAAAAAAAAAAAAAAAAAGTTTTCTGATTTGGTCGTCTAACATCTTTTCGTCAAAACTGGTCCTATAATTTTGAAAACTATCCAACATTTATGTCACTACCAATTTTATGTACTTGATTAGTCAAAACAAAAGTCTTAAAATCTGATCCTCCCCCCCTCCATTCCCCAAGATTGTATACTGTTTGGTTTTTGTGATTGAAATATTTTAGCTATCAGAAGTTGCAGGCTAAATTCTGTAACTCCTGTACTACTTCAGAGGGATGGAAAGAACACAATATTGATTGAAGATTTGTGAAAAATAATAGCATTTCTCCTAGTAAAAATGAATGCTGAGTTGTCAGTACTTCTCTATAATATCTGTACTCTTTGCATAAATTAAAGTAGATACATACAAATACATACAAATTCATAGGCTTTCAGATTAAAGACAAAAAAGCTTTCCTCTTTTAATTTCAGTTTTACAAATTATATTTATTGAATTTTGCTGGAATTTTGTATCTGTGCTTGTGTATGTGTTAATATGCATGGTAAACTGTTATACTTGTTCTCTAATATGAAATAATACAATTGGTTTCTTTGTGTTTTGAAGTAAAATATCTTTTATATTGACATATATAAAATCACACATTGTGTGTTTTCATTTCTCTTAGAGTAATTACCAGAATAGAGGGGCCTAAATGAAATCGTTTTAGTCAATTAGCTGAACTTCAGAGGAGGTTCTCGTGTTGAAGTAGAATGAATTTCCAATAGGCAGTTTATTTTCTATTTTTGATCATGTGCTAAGTAAAAAGTACCAAGGGAAAATGTGAATTATTTTTCCTTGCAAAGAGCAAGCAGAAATAATGTTAGTATCTCCCTTGTTTAATATGCCAATTTAAGTTTATGTTCCAAATTTGATTTCACATTAGAAATATATTTTTATTGGTTATTGTCATATTAAGTGGTACGTGCTATGTGGCCTAGAGAGGAAGAGTATATAGAAAAAAGATAAATGGACAAAAGATGTCTTTTAATTGTACAATCTAGGTTTGGTCATTGATATGTAAAAACTTTTACATTATTAAAAGGATCTTCAGAAATGTCTGCAGAATAAATGCGTTTAAAGAGTCAAGATTTTGAATATTCTGTGAGAGCCTTGACCACCCGTTATTGGTTTCAGCAGCCTATCTCTTCTTCCCACGTTTATCACTGTAGGCCTGACACACGTCTACAGATATATTTTCCCAAACTGTGTCTGGCTGCTCCTGTTAGCAAAACCTGAAACATACCTTCCTTATTAAAAGAGAGATTAACAGCTGTACTTTGTTGGAAAAAATCTGAAGCTATAAGGCATTAAAGACAGGTTAAGGACAATGAGTACTCGACTGAGGGTGTCTCTTTAATGTAATCAGAGAAATTGGGAGAGATTGAAAAAGGGAGAGTTTTGAGAGAATTTCAGCATATGCCCAAAGCATGTTAGAAATAAATATTCTTAGACTTCTTTTTTGTAATCATCTCTAGAACCTAGTGTCTGAAAATGGAGAAGGTATTCTTTATTTTCATGTAGTGGTAAAAATAGTCCATAACGCATATAAGCCTGTAATTTTCTCTACATATCTTAAAGCAAATTTAAATATGGATTTTATTGCCTTTTGTTATGCTTGGAAATTTTGTGAATAGCTACAAGGTATAAAATATCCAAATTCTCTGAGCACTTAATCCCCTTTTTAATGTGTGCCTAGCTATTTCTTGCCAAATGAGATTCTAAATTTGTGGCCTAATTAAAAAAATTAAGGAATAAATTAGTTTTTTTAGAAGCACCAAAAATGCTAAGAGCATCTCGTGTTTTAATTCCAGTAGTGTGTATGTGCTAGACTGATATTAGTTTAGTTGGCTTTCTCAAGATTAAGAATCTTTCAATAGGAGAAAAAATCTTTTTGCCTACAATTAAAGAGAAAGTAAGATAATACAGTTTTGTTTACTTAAGGTTTTGTGTTATAGAAATTTGTTTGCAGTTTATTTTGGGGGAATAACATCTTTACTATATATTTTTGTCCTCATTAGAAGATGCTGTCCTAACAAATTTTCTTATGAATGCCAGTAAAAAATATATAATATTTCAGATTTTTTTTTTTGCTTATCATGTAGGCTTATCAACAGTCTGAATAAAATTACCTTTCATTTGATGATAGAGTATAAACTTTTAGTGAGTTCCCAATAGTTCATTCATCATATCAACCTACCTAACTTCCAAGTAATGAACATTTAAATCCTTTATCTTACTGACAATTTTTAATATGTTGATAAGCAGAAACTTGAAGCCTATAAAAGCATAATGTAATACTTCTTTGTGAGTTTTTAAATCTTGATGCTAATTATACAATTGTACAATATTGCCTCAATCAACAAGCGTTTTTGAAGTGCTTACTATATGCCAGCATTGTGCTAAGCTCTGGGGCTACAAAGAAAGACAAAAACCATCCCTGCCCTTGAGGATATCACAGTCTAATGACAGAGAAAACATGCAAACAAGCTGTATCAGAATAAACTGGAGGTGCTCTCACAGAAAAGGCACTAGAGTTAAGGGGGACCAGGAAAGGCTTCTCGAAGAAAGTGGGGTTTTAGCTGAGACTTGAACGAAGCCAGGAGACCCAGATAAGGATGCAAAGTATTCTAGACATGGGACATAGTTAGTAAAAAGTCACAGAGTAGGGAGATGGAATTTCTTGTGTGAAGAGCAGCAAGAAGGCCCATGTCATAGAATACGTGGAGGGGAGCAAATAAGAAAACTAGAAAGTAGAAGGGGCCAGGTTATGAAAAGTTTTAAAATCCAAATAGAGGATTTTCCGTTTAATCTTAGAGGTAAGAGAACCACTGGAGTTGGGGGGGGTGGCGGGAGTCAGTGACATGGTCACACCCAAGCTTTAGGAAGATCAGTTTGACAGCTGGAATGGGGAGAGACTTGCGGTAGATGCCTTGATTAGAGATAGCTTTCTCAAGGACTTTAGTCGCAAAAGGGAGAAGAATAAGAGGATGATAGCTATCAGAAACGTACAGATCAAGTGAAAGTTTTTAAGAATGGGGTTGACA